TCCGAACCTGCAAATTTAGCTTACACGGCTCTAAAATTGCCCTGCCCTCCAGACATGAGCCCCGAGGCAGGGCAGCCGTACAGACTCCACCTGCTGCAGGCCTTGGCCAACTCAAGGGGGGACCCAGACATGGCCCTGCTGCCATTTCTGCAACACGGGGTGCCCGGGAGCCGTGTCAGCCTTGCCACCCAGCCTTCAATGGCCGGCAAAGAAGCTCCGCCCTGCCGCCGGATCTGGAAATCTGTGAGGGCAACTGGAAGATGGCCGAGGACGAACCAGAAACCGTGCAAAGCTTGCTGCGCAATGAAATTGCCAACAACTGGATTGTAGAAACCGGCCTTAGCATCGCCGAGGCTCGGAAAAAATGGCCCTTAGGCATTGCCGTAGGCAAATTAAATGTCGTTTTTGCGGAAGGGAAAGAGCCGCGCCTTGTCCTGGACAGCACTGTGTGCCAAGTGAATACCAGATGCCATCTACCAGAGCGCCTGAGCCTGCCAATGACCTGGCGCTGTCCACGCAGCCGGAGGACACTCCAGGCGCCTTCGTGGGCGCCAGCATTGACTTCAAAGCCGCACACAAACAGGTGCAGGTCCGCCCTGAAGAGCATGGCCTTCTACTATTCGCCTTTAAAGGAAAACTCTATCACTATAGAGTGTGCCATTTTGGGGGCCGTTTCTCGGCATTCTGGTGGCAGCGCACTGGCGCTTTTTTGCTTCGCCAGGTGCATGGGTTGCTGGCTTGGAAGCCCCACAAAGCCTTCCTTTTTGTGGACGACCTTCTGTGTGCACTCTTCCGAGATAGCGCACCAGATATGTTTGCCTTGGTGGTGCTTTTCTTTTGCGCCATTGCGGCGCCAATTTCATGGAAAAAGGCGCAATTCCAGGACAGCCTTGTTTGGTGCGGCTGGGAGATCAACTTCTCCCACGACACCATTCAGCTCGTGTCCGCTAAGCTGACCAAGCTGGACGCCTTGATCAAAGCACTACTCCGCAAAACACTCGAGCAGTGCATAGGCCTGCTCATTTGGGCCACCAGCATTGCGCTGCATCTGAGATCCTGGCTAGCGCCACTATACTCGGACCTCAACAGCCCACCAGGCTCGATGCACTCGATACCGCCTCAAATGTGGTCAGCCTTCAGAGCATCCTTGAACAAGGATCTCAAAACCAGCCATAGCCTTCCCGGCTTGTGGATCACAGCGGGCTCCAAAATCTTGGAAATTTCAGGTCGCACCATGCACTGCCCTCAGGACATCCCGCGGGTGCTCGGCGCTAGCAAACCCACGTGGGTGCGCATCGCGGACCCCAATAACCCATATACTAGCCTTTCCAAGTCAAGCCAGCAATGCCTTACATGGCTGGCGTTGTGCTTTCAGCACTCGCCCGTTCAGCCCTTGGCGCGGCCACACCAGCTGCAAGCACTGGCTGCAGCGGATGCGTGTGCCGAAGACGACTTGGTAGGGATAGGGGGCTGGGCAATCACATTTTTTGAAGTGGTTTGGTTTGCCGAAACCTGGAACATGCGGGACATACGGGCCGTATGGCCTTGCCTTGTCAAGCCTGGACAGCGGTACATCGCATGTTTCGAGACGCTGGCACAGTTAGCACTACTGCAAGCAACCCACAGCCACATTGGTGGTGGGCGCTACTCGTTCAGCATGCCTTCAGGCACGGACAATTCCGCAACGGAAGCAAGCCTTAACAAGTTGTTCACGACCTCCTGGCCGTTGCAACTTTTCGTGCAGTTAACAGCCTTCTGGGCTCACGCTCGCAATGTGCTACTGCAGCCAACGCACGTTCCAGGAAGGTGCAATGATTGGGCAGACGATCTCAGCAGAGGTCGGTTGGCCCGATTCAGCCATCGCCCTGAAAGTCGCACACGCTTCAGCCCTGCGGGCCTAGCAATGTGGCATTCAGCTGTGTCCGATGCCCGGAACACCTGGCAGCTGCCTCCAGCACTGCTTAGCCAGCCTTATTTGCATCCCTGGCAGCCAGAACAACTGGCTGCGTCAGCCAGCCGCTTACATCAAGCCGCTCTGACCGAAAAAAGTGCAGACCCTGAGCAACAGGCTGCTCACAGCCGCAAGCGTGCATGGTCACGCGGACACAACCCCACTCTGAAGGGCGGGTGATGAGGCCGGCGGCCCAGCTGGCTCGCTTATACCGGGGTTGCCTGAAACACTGAAGGGGGGGTCAACGCACCTCCTGTTCCAGGCGCACCAGTGCCCTGGAAGCAGTGCTACTTTCAGCAATCCCGGTAAAAAGAACTGCGGCCGCTTCGGACTTGCTTTGTTCTTTTGGGTGTTCATGTTTGGGTTCAAGCTAGGAGCAGTGCAACATGCCTTAACGCTTAGGGTTTCTTTTCCCTTGTGTTTAGGGCATGTTGTGAATCGAACTACGCGGTGGCCGTTTTGCTCCTAGCCTTGACCCAAACTTGCGGTTTCATTTGAAACCCACCCACCCACCCTGCACTGCCTTATACAAGGCTCTGCAAGCATAGGTCGCAGACGCTCTGCACTTTCGTTGGTGGTCTCAGGACCGCTTGGTCTCCGGACGAGGTCTCCGGACCAACTCTGGTCTGCGGACCAACTCTGGTTGCCGCTCGGGGCGCGCTGCTGGAGGACGTGGTAGTACTCCAGCCCGTCCGCCCACAGGGTTCGCTGCCACACGAAGACGAAGACCTCCGCCCGCCCGTTGCGGAGCTTGAAGGCGTCGATGTCGTCGAAGCCCACGGGACGGTCCGTCGGCAGGCCTGAGAAGTCCACCCCCGCGTCGGCCAGAGCGGGCTGCCAGCCCGCAGGGCGGCGTCCGCGGCGGGTCATCTCCTGCATGATGAGCTCACTCGGGGAGCGCCCGTGCTGGAGCGGCTGATAGCTGATGGGGTCGCCGGCAGGTTCCCGGCGGAGGAGGGCCACTGCAGCGAGCTTCGCAGCCCGGCCCTCACCGGCGCCACTGACGGTCACAGGGCGGCTTCTGCGGGGCCGCTCCGCCTGCAATTATTCGCGCCCAACACGCTCACCGTGACCAACACGTCCAACTTTGCGGGCGACCTAACGCTGACTGAGAACGGGCCGGCTGGAGCAAGGTGCAGATCTCCCAACAGCAGTGCGGCCTCCAACAGAGTAGTGTGTAAAGGCAGCCTATAGGGACCAATTAAATTTTCGGGTTTGGGGGGCTTTTTTGAGCATTTCGGCGCCGTGCCCAGCCGGTAGCGACAGCAGGAGGAGCTCATGGCGTAGCGTTCCAGCTCAAAGCCGCGCCGTGAAGTGACGCGTCTGGCGGTTGGAGCGCACCAGGAAGTTGTTCAGCGTGGTCAGGGTGGCCGGCAGCAGCACCGGCCAGCGTGACACTGTTGAGGCGCGTGTCGTGTCAATGTCTTTCAGGATCTGGGAGGCCGTACAAGACGTCCACCGGTTTGTGCGAAGTACATCTTGGCAGTGCTTCAAGAGCCCTGGTTGAGGGTCATAGACGTTGTCGGCCTTGGACATGTGCACGACTAAGTTGGAGGCCGGACGAAGAGAAACCCGGCCGGGGGTTGGTTGTAGGTGCCAGCCGTTCACTACCAATTCGCCAGGGAGACGTCCGTGGGGCTCAGGATCTGCTCTCCGATGGTCGCGTCGCCCGGGAAGTGCACCGCTCAACGCTGCGTCGGTCACGCCGAGCTTGCCGGTCAGGAGGCTGTCCGCCTGCGCGATGGTGTAGTAGCTGAGCTGGGGCTGTTGCCGTGTGCTGGTCGGCCGCCGAGTGATACGCTACCAGCGCCAAGGCGATCGGGTTGGTGGTGAAAACGTCCTGGTCCGGCCCCGTCCGGTAGGCCAGCAGCGCGCCCGCAATGGCCGCCCTGCGTCTGGGTGTCCTGGACGCTCGCCGTTCGGTAGTCCGTTCACTTGCGCCAAGGTGTAGTAGGCCAGCAAAGCCGCTGCGATGGCGCTGGTCGTCTCTGCGTCTTGCGCCGTTCCCGTGCGGTAGTTTGCCAACAGCGTTGCTAGCAGCTCGTCCACTTGTGCCGAGGTGTAGTAGGCCAGCAGCGCTGTCGCGAGGGCCGCGTCCGGTGCTGCTATGGAGTAGCAGTCCATACTAGGTCGCAGTGGGATTTACGCATCTGGCGTCCAAATTAGTGCTTAAAGGCGGACATCTTGACATGCTGCGTCACAGTGGGATTTGGCAAGTTTTGCGCTGACTTTTCTGATTTCGTGAATGCGCTTGCGTCTCATGCAGGTTTGCTTGTGCAAGCTGTCGTGCACTGACTTTCGCCTCCGAGTGTAGGGTTATCTTTATTGAAAAACGCTCGCCCCCCTGCAATCTCTGAGGCCCGGCGCATGTTTATCTGCATCCGTGAGCCTGCGCTTTTGAGCAACGCCTTGAGAAAAAAGGGGAGAGCGCGCGTCGTGCATTGGTCTCCCCTTTTTTCGGCATGCATGTTGTGTTAGGCTTGAAGGAGTGAACCGGTTTCTAACTCCTTGTCGTTTGGGCCTAAATTTTCCTTGGTTGGTTTCAACATCGCCAGTCGTCTAATGTGAATGAGCCTTTGGGTGGGGCGATGGCGAAACAGGGGAGTATCGGAACCCTCCTTTTTCCAACATTTTGGATGCCCTGAAGGGTGTAGTGCAGATTTTAACTGACAGGTGGCTAGGGAAAACAAAACAATTCAAGAGGCCCCCTGTGTGCGAATTGGAGAAGATCAAGATTTGGGGGTTGGTTTGGTTCTGGAAGTGACGAGTGCCCAAGTCGCGAAATTTGTGGTTCCTCTCTGCAGAGCTCAGGCTCAAGATGTGGGAAAACAGAATTGGAGCCCCTGGCCCGCAACCCGAATGTGAACAGCGACAAGACAACATTTATTGGCCCGATCGTGGCAAGGAAGCCTTTTTGCTGGGGAACAAATTCCGATGTCATTTGGGGAGACCTTTGTTTTCTCCTAAAGCTGTTTTGTTTACTAGTGCTGGTGCCCTGGTTGGTTGGCCCTGTTGGAGGCGGTTGGGCGGTCAACCTAGGTGTCTTTGCAAAAAATAGCACGCCACCGGTACATGAAGCATCTAGCTCCACTGGTCGCTGCCGTTTGATGGGCTGGTTTTCCGCAGGGCTGGCAACATCCCCAGCGTCACCAGCCTCACTTGGACCTGGAGTTGCCTATTGGCTCTGATTGGCTGGCAGTCAGGAGTTGCTCGGGGCTGGTTTAAGTTAGGGGGGCGGGGGGTGGATTGGGATACGGCGAGCAAAGGGCTGACAGGCGGTTGCGTGGGTTGAGCGGATTTGTGTTGGGTGTGCTGCCGGTGCTCCAAGGAGGTTGCGTGAGCTCCGCGGCATTTGGGTAAAGAGCCGTTTTTTTCAGGTTCGGATTCCTCTCTTCCGGGGTGACGGGGAAGAATTCGTAGGTGAATGCAGTGCTTGTTCACAAGCGAAGTCATCAGTGGTTGCGCCAATTGCATGCTTCCACCACTTGCATCACTTGCCTGCATTGGTCCATCAACTTCGTATTACAGATTTGCTGTTTTTCTGGAGGTTAAACCTTATTTCCTGACGAATGTATTTCTATTGGTATGAGGACTGATGTTACGCGCGTTCCGACTGATGAATCCACAGACCACATAACACATTTGATTGCAACTCTGACTAGTTAATGCAGTGATTAATCTAAAACATTAAACAATACCTGAAACACATTCAAGAAGCAGGGGTCCCAGCACAGGCCCACCCAGAATTCAACAACGTTCCAAACATTCCAAGTTTCGGACCCCGATTTTTTGACTTAGAATTGAATGATATAAACAGAGCTCACAATACTTTTCACAGACTGCACACAAGTTCCCTCGCGGGCTGGTTTTCGGGCGGGACCCGTGCGAGGCCGTCAAGGACTCCTTGGCATGCAAGCGGGCAGGAGCCTGGGTGGGTGATGTGTAGCGGTTCCAAAGGCCGATTCGATTTTTCCAGTTTGGAGAAGTGAGCTATGCCCCGAACAACTCCCTGTTTTCTATTTTGGCCATTGCTTCCTGTGACCAGATAGGGTAATTAAGCCATGTCAAAATCTAGAGATAGCCGGTGACCATGACTGGATGCTGAACAAAAAGGCCTTCGAGTCGCCTCAGGAGCTGGATCCCGAGGCTCTGGCTAGGCGAGCCGAACCGAACCTGGGATTGACCCCTCAGAGATCCAACGGGCCGCTGGTATGTGTCAAAAAGGAGACTCCAAAAACGGTTTTCTCTTGGTGGTTTTCCGTGAAAAGGGTAGCTTCAAAAGACACACCCAGGATTCCTTGGGTCGTCAGTTAGCTTTAAAATAGATGGGTTCCATTGGCTTCAGTTCGGTTCGTTAATTCCCAGTGCCTGTTTAAAAAAGGACAACGAGACCAGGGATAGGGTTGACAAGCCTTACGCGCGGTAAATGACATACAGCCACATATGCTTGAGTGGTTTTGGCGGCGGGTCTTTCGGGGTGTCTTTGTACTTGGGCCTAGCTTCAATAGAATTGATCTCATGAAGCGTGCTCGTTGGTTTCGTGTCAACATAATTGTCCAGCCTTTGAGCGGACCCGCTGATTGAAGATGAGCTTGTGTCGTCTAATTGAAGTGCCATGCAGTGACAAATCATGCGCAGCTCTGTTGAAGCTTGTGAGAGAGTCTTTCACTCGAATTTGTTGCCACTGAAGCAGAGTACCTTTTGCTCAAGGTACTGCTTTGTTTGGAATACCAGGTTTGGTCCAACGACAGAGTTTATAATTCTCCGGCGGTGCCGTATCTACATTTTGGCCAAACGACCGCAATCTGCCTGAAGGCAAGGATGGGTGAGTCAGGTGGCAACGCCGAGTTTTTTTTACTGCCCGATTTTAAGATTCTCTTTGGTGCAACTTGTTTTTTGGCCATGTTGATCCCAAGTCCTTTGGCCAATGTCTCTCCCGCGGTTCGCTTTGGCCATCAAGTCACGTAGCCAGGTCCTAGCCTCATTCCTATGTGCGGTGGTTAAGCGACCCGGGATGGGAATGTTAGACAACCCGTCTAAGGCTTCCAAGGGGTCCTATTATGGCGAACCATAACCATGGCCCAGTCAAGCAGTGTTGACCATGGCGCATATGTCCCTTTCAACATCAATTCGCAAGGACATACTGAGCCAACGGCCAAGGATGATATGTTTTTGGTGGCCAAGGGGGGGGGAATCCACTTTTTTTGTTGCGAATCCCGTCCGCGCCAGGCCTAGGCTTTGTGCATGCCCAGTTCAACATTGACTCCATCGAGAGCCGGCCCTCCTACTATTGGGACAATGTCAACGCCCACTGGGTGCGGTGCTCGGATTGTGATTGACGATACAAGCTCCTGAATGCTGCGTCATTTTGGTTGCCCCGTGGGGAAATTCCAACCAACAGCCAATCGGTTGAGCGAGGCTCCCCGTACGGGCCTTGATCCCCTGTAGTGGTCACCCTTAGTTGGTAGTTCGGAGCCTGGTAGTTTGGAGGTCAGGTTTGGTGGTGTCCAAATCTTACAAGAACCAGGGGTTCCTTTGCCTCCAGTTTCCACCAAGAACCAAGTAAGGGTTAGCTGAAATGGGACCAAGAGCTAATCGAAGTCGACCAATCTGGGAGACAAAGTCTGAGAAGCTTGGGCGAATGCGAGGATGGTTCGGTTTTGCAGGTGTTCTACAGCGGAAGTTTTTCAATGTGCTAGGTGCTTGTGTCTAGATAGGGCAGGCAAATGGTTGCCCAACATGTTCCATAATCCAGCAGCAAGTGAGTTGCGTGTTTGCGCATGCTTTAAGCTCGTTTCCTCCTTTGGTTTTGTGTCACGAACGGAAAAGGGCCGAAGCCATGTTTTCCTTTCTGGCTCCTCTCTCTCCATTTTGGCCAAAGGGGCTCTGGACCCTTTGACCTGTTTCAGCTTCATTGGGCCCACTCCGCCGCCTTCCCATTTTCGACTTACTCTTGGAGGGGGTTGGATATTAGCTGCTGGAATATGGATGCCGTTTTCCCACAATGGGAAACGGAATATTGCAACTTGGAATCGAGAAAGGCCATGTACCCTCATGGAACCTGGACCTGGCAAAAAGAGGTCCTTGGTTTGGACCTGTCGTTTTTGCGTGGCCGGCACAGCACCTTTTGCAAGCCGATGCCAATGCTGGATTGCTCATAAAAGTATTTGACCAGAAACGGACATTTCTAACACTCGTTTCCACCAATCATGAAATATTCACTTTGGGGTCACATCAAGCAAGTGTAAGCATGTGGGGTTGTCCGGTCCTTTAATTTTGAAGGCGTTTCCATTAGCTCTTGGTCCACGGCCCAGATTGCGGAGCCGCCAGTAGACTGGAAGAAACATTGCCGTGGCCCCGATCGGACCGGGCAAGGGGGGGTGGAATGGATACTTTTCTGCAATTGAAATGGTATGTGTCAAGATAGGGATTTGGACCCACCAACTGTTTTCGGTTTTGCTTGAGGTTTCCCTTTAAACCAAGCTGAAAAGGGTACCCTCAGCAGACACACACACACACACACTCATATGTGAGCGACTGAGCAACTTATTGGTAGTGTACTGTTGTTTTGGGGAGGACACAGCCTGATTTTCACACTAGAGGGACAGCCCCTCTTCCTATGTCCAACAGATTGTCCGTAGGTCATGCTTGTTCTCAGGGAATCAACTGCGCTTTGAGTGAGGCGTTTGGGACCCTGTTACAGGAAACCTCAAGGGATGGTCGGGGTCATTCTTTTGTGTACTGAGAACGAGCAAGGTTGGGCGGAACTCAGAATCCTTTTTTGGTTTCTATGTTAATCTGAGTAAGGCAAACTTGGTTGCCAAACCAAAACCTATTTCTTTGGCCCTTGTGGGCGCAACCTCTTGACAGAAACCACTTGTGCTTGCTGAGTTGCCCGGTTCGCGTTGTTTTAGCAGAACGACCAGGGAATCATTGTCCATGGACAAGCCCAAAGACCACCCAAGATGGTAAGAAGGAGCTTTCAAGGCAAACGCCCAACAAGGCGCAAGCTCTTGGGAGATCTTTGGGTCCTTGTGGGGATGTATGGTCCCTAGAAGGTTCTCTGAGAAATCCAAATTCACAGTGACTTGGAATTATCACTGTGTTGGCCCTTGATTGAGAAGGCCCCCCAAAAAACTATTCAGCAGGGTCCTGGAAGAAAGGAACCCCTGAGGACTTGGCAATAGGGGTGGGGGTAAATCAGGGGTCATTAATAGAAACCCATTTTCTATAATTGTTGAGAATTCCAAGCCACTCGGCCTGGACAATTGCTATGGCGCGCGTTTGCTCTGAACCCTCTTAAGTGGGTCATTTGAACCGCAGGGATGTGGATTTTAACCCTTTTAACCTTTTTAACCCTTTTTCACCCTTTTAACCCTCTCTAAAGTGGGTCATTTGACCTCATTTGACCTGCGGGTCATTTGACCTCCGGGATTCGGACATTTTGAACCGCCCGGGCTGCCAGGAAGCCGCAACACGGGTGGGGAGCACCCACAGATGCCGGCAGAAACCGTTACCCATCAGATGACTGTTACCCACTTTGAGACAACCAGATACCATTATATGATATTGTATGTAGCCAGTGTTGTTTTGCACAAACAACATGCATGGATATGTCCGGCTGTGCATTTTCAGCGTTGGACCAAAAACAAAGCGGCCAAAAAATCCGCCGTGTTTGTTTGATGTCAACACCAAAGAGTCCTACCAATGAAGTTGTTTTTCACCATGTGAACACCAATAGACCTGGCATCCAGAGATTTTCCATAGCAACCTGGGCAAATTATAGCGATTTCGGTTTGCGACCTCACCCATGATGGTTCCTTTCATATGATACCTGCATTTTGGCTGGTAGATTCCGAGAAAAACAACATCTGGGCTTAGCAAGCAAATTATGTCTTCTCCTTGGTCACCCAAAATGGCTTGCCTGCAAGCAAAGGGACATACATCTACGTTGTTGCATGTTCTTTTGTTCTCCGTTTGGTTCTATTCATTTTCGTCGGGTTCTGCAAAGTGCACTCCACCCCTGACTAACGACCCCAAAAGCTGCTTGGGAAATTGCCCAAAGAAGCGGAAACCAAAGGTCAGGAATTCCCTGACCTCAAAAAGCCAAGGTTTGAGAATTCCCTTAAAGAACCAGGGAAAAGATATAAGGGCCTAAATACTTAACAATTAGCATTGGGTGGGGTACTGTAAATCCATATTTAGTCATGGTCATACGATAATAATGTGTGTAATGTGTGTAGTTGTTCGACCCTTGTTGCCTTCAGTCAGATTGAAACAATCGTTCGGAGCCGCCCAGCTTTGACACGTGACGGCTACGTGGCGGGTATCGACTCTTCTGTGAACATGCCCGGCACCCTGGCTGGCTTCCATGTGGTTCCAAAAACAGATACACGCCCTGGCAGGTGGCTGGAGGCTGATTTCCGGTTGGTTTCCTTTTAAAACCCAAGCGGTCTGCTGTTTTGAGACGGCCCTTCTTGCGAGCGTCATGCCTGCCAATTTTACGGTGCGCTCATCCGGGTAAAAGCTCCCCCATAGCTTCCCGTTGAGGATTCCTGTATTTCAGATTCTTGGTGCGGAGAAATGCGGAACAGCATTCCCGGAGAGATGGCCCTCCACCCGAAAAAAAAGGTTCAGAGGCTTCCTTTCAAATGTTTCGGCTTTGATCTCATGGACTGATATCAATATGGCCATGGGTCAAAATCAATGGGATCCCATTTTGGGGTAGGTGCACCGCCCATTTTAGAACTTATTTTAGTGGGGATTGGGATGTTCACTGGGGGTTCGGGGTTTTGACCCATGGCCATATGATGCTCCAGTTTTGCGTTGAAGGCGTATCATCAGAACAAGTGTAAATCTAGATACGGTCGCATGTGACTTGGTGACTGGAGGAGGGGAGGGTTCCAAGTTTGTTTTGCTTCCTTATGGGGGAAACAAGAAGAACCCACATAACGGCTGGTTACAGGGTGCAAAGCAAACCCATCCGCATGTTTGATAGCTGGTATATCTTTTTTCTAACAGTCAGGGAAGTGGTCTGACAAGATGCCTGGTGTCCAAAACCATGCACAGGCGCGTCCACGGTGTGATTAAGTTGTGCCGAAACTTATAGATTCCTTCCAGCAACCGTTCGGGGCCCTCTGTGTGCGGAAACACCTGCATGTATGCAGTCCTTTTACTTGCTGTTTTTTGAATTCATGCCAAGCATGACTTTTGCCTTGTTCGGTCTTTTAGTCCACAAGCAGGTTCGGGATTTCTAGAAGGTGGGTTCAACCTCAGCTGTGGTTTCGCCACATAAGCAGGCCACGCAACTCAGAACACGGTGAGTTTCATTGACCATAAGTTATGGCTTAGTCTTGCTGATGAACCCCAAGTTCATGGTTTCATTAAACTCAAGCGGAGTTTTGCAACCCACAACTTATTTCTCTTATTTTAATGCATATGGGCACATCTTCCGACCGATCGGCCGTCCCAGATCTCGTTTCACCCACATCGGGTGCTTTGAAGCAGACTTTGCCATCACCCATGCCCGGTGCCAGAGCTCTGTCGTCAACTGGGCTCGGGGTTTGGGGCTGAAGTCATACTGTGGATGGACGAAATCCGTTTCGCACCACCTAAGACACCATGGTTGAAACCATTTGTTTGTTGATATTTGCATTGGAATCATCATTCAAGGGTTTCCTAGGTGGTGCAGGATTTCGTCCATCCACAGTAGGAATAGGGCCTGCACATGCCATGGAGGTATCGTGAAGGAACGCGGTTTGGTTGCGTTGTTTCTCCTGGCTTCCCATTGCATCGGCACGGACAATTTTCGCCCTCGCGTTGGCCAGATGAGAGACACAGCACACATCTTTAGAAGATCGGCATGATCAGCAAAGCGTGTCAGCCACGCAAACCATTTGTGTGCGTGTCTCTGTTTTTGGAGGGTATCCTTTCCAGGTAGGTACGGAGACTAAAGGACAACTACCATGTTTTGCCCCCCCCCGATTGTGACGCACAGACACACCCATTTGTTTGGATCTTGACAACCATAGGCTCTTGTCTGCGGAATCAAGCCAGTGCCTATGGCACACCGTAGCATTTTTTTGCGAGTGATTGTTTGGCGGGTTCTATTTATACCAAGTCGACAAGCAATCAAAAGAGGCCTCTTCTTTTGCCAAAGTAACAGCAAGTGGGTCTTTGTCTCAAAAGCGGTCAAGAGTCAAACCCTGAATGAGGCTTCCACTACGGGTCTTGGCAAGGCCTTAGAAGGACCCTTACAGCCCCTTTCAACCCAAACGGGCTTAAATTGCGCACCCTTCCTTTGGTGACGAAATACCCAACCGAAGCCGTTCCAATTGTTCTCAGACGAATCTGCCGGATTGATCATGGGTGCTTCCGTCAGGATCCCATTCGACACCCCGACCGGGGCGTCATTTCTCGTTCCAAATGAGAAAGGTAATGCCATGGAGATGCTGTGGTCCATTTTCCCTTTGAGCATTAAGGGATACCATAAAATGCGCACCCAGAGCAAACATGGTGTTAGGTTCCCCGAGCAAAACCATGCAAGAAGCACTCGGGGCACTGAAGGTCTCTCACCCGCCGTAGGCTTCCCCATGAAATTCATCCCGAGGGCTTGACCGTTTTGCGCTGGAAATTGCTACAGGTTGCAGAGTAACAAGCGCCAAGTTGCCAAAGTGCCAAAGAAAGATCGCTGCAAAAGCAGTGTGTTTCATGCTGCTTTCGCCAACTCGGGAGTTTGTGCTACTTGTTTTAGCATTGTCCCAAGGTAGCCCTACTCAACGTAGTGCCAGTGATGATCATAGCCGTCTTTGACGTAGGTTGGACAGATAAAGTCAGAGTTCCAATGGTTTCTCGAGCTTTTGAGGGCTTATAAACAGCCTTTTGCATATATTGCGTTCCATCGGGTTTGAGGCCCGGGCTTCTTAGAAGTTGCGTGGCCGTGCGGATTTGGTATTGAAAACTGACGGGGGCATGAGCCTTAGTTGACACGTAAAGTGGAAATCTATGGAATCCTTTGGGGTGATTTGTTTCAATGATGGAACCCCGTGTTAGGTCGAAGTCGAAAAACATCCGAGCGAATCAAACGGCGATCGGTTCCCGAGCAAGCCGGGAACTCGGTCCGAGCGGCCGGAGGCCGTGAGCGACGCAGTGGCCTACGACCCCAACGAGTGTATGCAGGCCGAACCGGGACCTGCAGCTGTTCGACATGTTGGCTAACCCCATCCTCGACGTGTTTTCAATTTGGCTTCCAGGTCGGGTTGAGGATTCCACAAGTCACCAAAGAAGTACCTGATGGGCCAGGAGCTTATCATTTTGCACCCCCTCGAAATGAGAGCTGGAAATGGCGGTCAAGGTCACCAAGACGTATATATGGTACAGCGTTGCCAGTCCCCCCCCCCTCCCCCAAATGGTCATGGGTCAGACAAGTACCCCCCCTGTACTTGTGGTCCTGCGGTTGGGTTGGTTTAGGGTTTGGTTTATGTTGATTTAGGGTTGGTTTAGGTTTAGAGGTCTACGGTTTAGGGTTTGGTTTAGGGTGTATCTAGGGTTGGTTTAGGGTTAGTTTAGGGTTGGTTTATGGTTGGTTGCGGGTTGGCTTGTCCTGGGGTGGGGGTGCCGGGGTGTCGGGTGCGAGTTCAGGGGGTCGGGGTGGGGGTGGGACCGTAGGTGCCAGGATCCGGGGGCTCGGGGTCTCGGGCCGGGGGGGGGGGACGTGGGTGGGGGGGGGGGGGTAGCAACACGGAACACGGGACCATATATGTATGTATATATATATATATATATATGTATATGTATACGTACACATATATGAGGCAGTATTGATGTGAATATCTTCCGGGGTTCAGTTTGGAAGATTCGCCGCCATTTGTCAAGTGGATCTGTCGAACCACGGATCTCACTGCGGAGCAGCCACCTAAACGGGATGAAACAACCAATCGGAGGATGTGTACCATCTACCCACCCGCACTTGTATTATTCTTTCCGGCACATTGGACACCAGCGAACCCCCAGCCAAGTAAAGGACCTTCACAACATGGGCTTTCGCTCGTAGCTTCCCACACCCGAGCTCAGCTTTCGCTGCCGCGAGGCGTGCAAGCTGAAATTTGGGACCAACTCCACCGGGGACCTGATCGTGGCGGTCCACCAGGCGTGCGCTCGGCTCGGGAGTTTCGCCGGGTCGGTGTTGAGGGAAGTTCCCGGCAAAGCCCAAGGAAGACCCACGTTGACTAGGTCCCCCAGTAGTGCCCTTTTACCCCTTTTTGGGGGGAGGGTTCCCCTACTAAAATAGACTACAGGAAAAAAATGGTACCCTTATTCTAACCTCGAAGGCTTGACCTTTATGAAGCTTTTGAGCTTTTGAAGCATGACAACCGTTTAGCCGCGAACCAGCACTTTTTGCAGGATTCAAAGACCAAGCCACTCTCTTTGGGCATTGCCAGCTGGAGGTGTGAGCAGCGGCCCAAAACCCGATTGGGCATGTATGCAAGTAGAAACCATTTTGATAGCCATCTTGGCTTCAACTCCCTCTCAAGAGGCAGGCCCGTAAAGAGATCCACGATCTTGGCGGTCACTTTTTCCAGACGGCGACTTCCGAGAAGTTGTGCCACGAGAAGTCTTGACTTCGACTTCGGACTCTGGTGAGAAGGTGACAAAATCATTTGAGGCCGCCATTGAGACCCAGCCGGCGGGTGCGGAACCGGCCAAAGAGGTTCTGGGAATCTCAAGGTTCCTCAGGCCATGGAGTGCACGGAGCGCCATTTGCTTGCGACTGGGCCCCGGTCCAGTTTTAATGTGCTTGTGATCTTGGTTTTGCCGAGTTGCCGAGTTGCCGAGTTGCCGAGTGCCGCGCAATCGCTGTTTGACTTGGCGCAAGCGCCACCTCCGGCTTGCTTTGCCCGAGCCGCCCGGCCCGATGAACTGGAGCTGAGTCGTTCGGGAGCCGGACTTTCGGGCTGCATCTTTGGGCTGCGCTTTACTTGGTGTGGTGAGATAGAGGGAGCTTTGAGGGTGCCCCCTACCTGAAACACGTGGTATATAGGCGCTATAGAATCAGTTATCAGGGTCCTGCTCGCCGTATTTCTTTGGGGTAGTTGTTTGGGTAGTGCAAGCCTTTCAAGAGTGGAGTCGTTTTGGGAAAGAGAGCGGAAGATCTAGGGACAATTTGGGCGGGAAAGTTGCTTTCCCCAAGGACACATGCTACAGACGCGGACGGGAGAGCTGTTGCCATGTCTCGTGATTTAGCGATCCAAATCCGAGCAAACTGGCCCCCCCCCGCTCCCTAGCGATGCACTTGGGCAAGGGAGCATTTTTTCCTTTTCTGCATTCGTGGCTTGTTTTTTCCTTTGGTTCTGTGTTTCAGTTTGATTCAGATTTCATTTCCCTGTCGGCAACCAAGAAGGCCCTTCAACAACTGCAAGGGACAATTGGTCACTGACATTGGCGATCCCAGTTTAGGAGAAGCCCTCACTTGGGAGAGAACTCTCCACTACTTCACGAAGTTGATCGCGTTTGGCTTTCTTTCGCACAAGGTGAACAACCTTGCTGGCTTGGTTCTTCTGCAAGACCAGGGGGCCATGCATGTCTCGAAAAAAGGATTCAAGTTTCATTTTTGCGGCCTGTTTGGTAAGGCTGGCATTTGCCTTTGGTGTATGTTTAAAGGGGACACCAACAAATCCCTGCAAGCCGTCGGCCGCGAGCTGAGTCGAGTGCCAGGATCGATGTGGTTGCGTGATGAGGGACATGACCACATTCCGGGAGTGGCGCCCGCCGAGTCTTTTCCCGTCCACTTGGGGCGTTTTGGTTGGGATTCTGAGTCGGATCTCGCATTTGCCATCCTATGAGTGGTTCAAATATCAACCAGCCTGAATAATTTGTCCGTTGGGTGATGTTTCAGCAGGCGGGTACCTATGTTGAGACAAAGCTATAGATTGCTCATCTTAACGTACTATACTTGCACTACAAAGTTGTGACTTTCCAGCTAGTGCTGGAAACCTGCACACCTCACGCACAAGACTTGTACTTCAAAGTTGCGATTCTCCAGCTAGAGCTGGTACTACACAGTTTCCAGCTAGAGCCTGTACTTTGCATACTAGACTTGTACTACAGAGTCGCCATTTTCCAGCTAGAGCCTGTCGCAATTTACCAGCTGGAGCTCGAAACCGTTACTTCGCGCACTAGACTTGTACTACAAAGTCGCGATTTTCGAGCTGGAGCTCAAAACCTGTACTTCGCGTACTATACTTGCACTTCAAAAGTTGCGATCTTCCAGCCAGAGCTGGAAACTTGTACTTCACGTACTATACTTGCACTACAAAGTTGTGACTTTCCAGCTAGTGCTGGAAACCTGCACACTTCGCGCACTAGACTTGTACTTCAAAGTTGCGATTCTCCAGCTAGAGCTGGTACTACACAGTTTCCAGCTAGAGCCTGTACTTTGCATACTAGACTTGTACTACAGAGTCGCAGTTTTCCAGCTAGAGCTAGAACCCTGTACTTCGCGTACTAGACTTGTACTACAGAGTCGCAATTTACCAGCTGGAGCTCGAAACCGGTACTTCGCGTACTAGACTTGTACTACAAAGTCGCGATTTTCCAGCAGAGCTCGAGCTGGAAACCTGTACTTCGTGCGCAAGGTTGTACTACAAGGCTGTGATTTCCAGCTAGAGCTGGACTTCGCGTACCTGTGCTTCGCGTACTAGACTTGTACTACAAAGTCGCGGATTTCCAGCTGGAGCTGGAAGGCTGGCGACACGTCTGAGCCACACACAATCAGCAACACTGCTGCCTGAGCGACAATTCGAGCAACATTTCTACACTAATATCTCAGCGACATGAGCGACGCTCCTGAGCGACACTTCTGAGCGACGCCTCTGAGCAATGAGCGATACTCCTGAGCAACACTTTTTGAGAACACTTCTGATCGAAGCTTCCGAGCAACAGTTCTGTTCGACACGTCTGAGCGACGCTTCTGAGCAACACTTTTGACTGACTCTTCTGAGCGACACTTTTGAGCGATACTTCTGAACCACACTTCTGATTGACACTTCTGAGCAACACGTCTGATCCACACTCCTGATCTGATCAACAGTTCTGACCCACAGTTCTCGCGACACTTCCGAGCAACACTTCTGAGCAACACTTCTGTTCGACACTTCTGAGCAACACGTCTGATCGACACTTCCGAGCAACACTTCTGTCGACACTTGTGACCGATACTTCTGAGCGACACTTGTGATCGACACTTCTGAACGACACTTCTGTCTCCAAATGCGCACCGCGCCACAGCGAGAGCGATTCGGGCCACCTAAAGTGCGCAGGGGGCTCAAAATGTGCACCGCGCCACAGCGAGAGCGATTCGACCCACCCAAAGTGCGCAGAGGGTTCACTTTGCATGCTCAAAACGCGCACCGAGAGCGATTTGACCCACCCAAAGTGCGCAGACGGCTCGCTTCGCATGGTCAAAATGCGCACCGCGCCACAGCGAGAGCGATTTGACCCACCCAAAGTGCGCAGAAGCTTCGCGTTCGCGAAATGTGCACCGCGCCACAGCGAGAGCCATCTCGCTGAGTGACGTGCTTGCCGCGAAATCTACACCCAGGCGCACTCAAAATGTGCACCGCGCCACAGCGAGAGCGATTCGACCCACCCAAGGTGCGCAGAGGGCTTGCTTCACGTTCTCAAAATGTGCACCGCGCCACAGCGAGAGCGATCTCGTGCCTGCCACGAAATCTACACCCAGGCGCCAAAGTACTTCGCCTGCCACGAAATTTGCACGGGGGGCTCCAAAGTGCCGCGCCTGCCGCGAAACTCAACCAAAACGCTCGAAAGTGCTGCGCCTGTCACGCAAAGTACGCTTGCCACAAACTCAAAATCATCCAAACTGCTGGACCTGCCACGAAATCCAAGTTTGACACCATCCAAAACTAGCACGGGACTGTGGCGCCAGAATGATTTCGACCAATT